CTGAACAAATTTTCTGTGTTCCATTGTATCTTCTTTGTTCCTTTGTCAAAAATTAGGTGTCCATAAACTTGTGGGTTTATGTCTGGGTTTTCTATTCGAATCCACTGGTCTGTATGTCTACTCTTACTCCAGTGCCATACAGTTTGATTATTATGGCTTTTAGTACAGCTGGAAGTTTGGGATTGTAATCCCTCCATTTTGATTTTTCTTAGACATGAGGGTTTTGGCTATTCGAGGTTTTTTGTTGTTCCATATGAATCTCATCAACATTTTTTCTATTTCTTTGAAGAATGTCATTGAGCTTTTTATTGGGATGGTATTAAATCTGCATATTGCTTTTGGCAGGATGGCCATTTTCAGAAAGTCTTCTATATTTATGTTTTGCCATTTCTAACATTCTTCATTTCTTTCTGTAGAATTTTCTACTATTATTTTTCTTCTAGTATAAACTCTTTTATCACTTCTGTGCAGCCCTGTTGCTAATAGTTTTTTTCAATATTTTGGTAAGAACATTTTTGTTCCTTTTTTTTAAGATTTATTTTTATTTATTTCTGCATACAAGAACTGGGGTGCAACCTACAGGTGTGGGTTGGGGGAGGAGAAAGGATTTACTATAGACGGTATGAGGAGCAGAGCAGGCAGATCTACTAAAATACACTGAGAGACAAATAGCAAGTGAGACATGAGGGGTCTGCTGCACCATGTGGGTCTCCTCCCAGGCCAGGGATCAAACTTATGCTGTAGTGGCTGGCAGTAGTTTGACAATACTGAGACTTTACCCGTGTGTCACCAGGAAGGCCCATCACTTTCATTTTTATTTATTTTTTTAAATATATTTTTTAAAAGATTTATTTATTTGTGCATACAGAACTGGGGTACAGGCCAGAGGCTCAGGGGCGGTGAGAGGCTTCACCAGAGACAGAGTGGAGAGCAGAACAGGCAGATCAATGAAGTACACTGCTGAGGGGAGCAGTGGCCGGGTCAGGAGAGGTCTGCCGCGCCATGTGGTCACCTCCGGGGCAGGCGGGAATTGAACTCGTGGGGAAGCAGCCTTAGATTCTCAGTGCTGTGCTTTTACCTACTGCGCCACCAGGGAGCACCCTACTCCATGTTTCTTAATGGGACCAAACTAACTGTAGATCATCATGCAACAAATCTAGGGGAAAATGAGTCAGACTCTACATGAAACAAATTAGGCTGAAACAAATTAGGCAATATGTTATGCATGTATAGCTATTTTCAGGGAGATTTCTATAACTGTTAAAACTATAGATTATCATTTAAACAACAGGGAAAAGGTGGATCCATATTATAGAGTTAACAGGTTTCTTATATAAATTTTTTCTGACTAAAGTGAATATTCCTTTTAACACTTTAATAATCTTATCTAAGACTATGAACATAAAGCATTTTTTTTCATATATGGCAGGTAGCTGTTAGGTTGATATTTAGACCAATCTCAAGAGAAAGTTGTCAGATTATGTACCAGTTTAAATTCTTTGTATTGTATGTTAGCTTGTAAAATTAATTAGCGAAAAGAGTGAAGTGTTACATCCTTTTGTGTAGTCCCCATGAATTTAAGTATAGGATGCATATATCTACTTATTTTTATTTATTTGAATGCATCTGAAGAGACTTACTGAATGTACATTTTGTGTAACAATCTCCTATATTAACATAATTGAAGCCATTAGAATAAACAAACGAGCCATACATGAATTCTGCTGTCAATGGAAGATTCAACAATAAAGTACTTTCAGTACCATTATTAAGTGTTTTAACAAGCAGCATATCTTTACCATCTTACAGTTCATCACTTTTTCCCCCTTTAGTGTTATAATATATAAATTATGTTGAAATAATGGAAATCTATCCTTTTTTTTTTCAAAAACAGATTGTACCAATAAAATTGGCCAACTACATAAATTTTCATTAATATGCTAAACAGTCTCCCATCTGGTGTAAGGTTCTTATCACATGTTTCATAAGGCACTGATTCCTTTAGGGTTACATAACACCAAGACTTAGATGTATATAGTTATTTGCCTGTTCATCACCTTTTTTTTTTGGTCCATCACCTTTAATTGTTTAAAGTTGGTTGACAAGAGGGTATTCCTATCAGTAACTCTTGTTATCCAATACAGTCAAATTTTGACACGTCAATTATGCATTGTTTTTCCTCAGCTCAGTTTGCGAGGTACCTTCTTGCCCTGCTTCTATAAATGATCAAATGAATATCTAACTACCTACTTTCCCAGTTTTTCATTCTAACTATAAACATTCCACTCACAATTCAATGTTCAAGGAAGCAAAGCTTTTCATTGCACTAATTTGAGCTCCCTGGATTTAAACTGTTGTTTAGCCTGTAACTCATCAGATAAAGGAATACAGGTACCCACCATTGATGTGTGTTAGTGCTTAGCCTAACTTCAGAATAACTCACTCTAGAGTTTGGGCAGAGATAGATGAGGAGGGTTGTCCTCATGAAAGTGAGAGGAGGAGGAAAGAGTGAATTGGCAATTTCTAGCACTGTCTGATGACCAAAAGATCTCCAGTTTCATTCCATGTCTACACCCGAAATAAATACATTTCCCTACCTTTTAAATGTGACTTAAATGATACCCTGCATGTTAAGACAAAATTGAACATCACAAGTTTATTTTCCTTATTGAAAAAAATGCTGAGCTGAAAATCAAGAGTTATGATATAAACTTGAACAAGTCACTCCTGAAACTTCTAGCTCTAAATATATGATGTAAGCAAAATTACTTTGGCTATAACTTTCTAAGTTTTCTTTTCTACCTATTTTACTCCTAATAGGAAATATGTTTTTTTTTTTTTTTTTAAAGATGTTGAGGACATGTTCACTTCCAGATCTCTCAAAGCTGTTTAGAACACTGATGGATGTTCCTATCATAGGAGATGTGCATCAGGACAATCTTGAAATAGATGAAATTGATGAGGAGCACATTAAAGAAGGGCCTTCTGATTCTGAAGACATGTAAGCACTATGTCTTTAATAAATGCTAGCACTAGTAGAGTTTCTTAATTTATATGTAAATTCTAGAGATGGTGATTTACCGAGACATTTTTTAAAAAATGGTCACACTGTAAGTGTGACCACATAACATATATCTGCCTTAAGTAATGTAACAATTCAATATCTTGACAAATATCAAAATGTTTTGTATTTATGTTCTCTGCCTAATTCACTTCTGAGCATTCACACTGTCTTACTTGGGAGGTCTTAAAACTGATTAAATGAATAATTGGGAGAAGAGGAATAACTAATAGTAAACCATCTATTCTGAAGTGCTTATCACACTAGAATTGTCTAGGAAAATGATTGGAAAGTATACATCTGTCTTCCCCTTAAACAATTTTGATTCCTGGCAATAAGGAGTTAACAGGAAGACTAGGTATCTTGTTTGTGTCTGTGTGTACGAGTGTGAACATGTATGTTCTGCATGTAACTTGATTGCTTTCGCGAAATTATTTTGTTCACAATTTATGAGGAATCTGAAATTAATGAGAAGGAAATTTAACTAGTAATATTTCTCTAAGGCTTGTTAGAAATGATAGCCCCATAAAGAACCCTCTCAGCCCATCAGACAAATGTTACAGTCTTGTTTTGGAAAATAAAACACGAGGTACAATGTGGTCAAATCACAAAATATGCATGATTTCCTTTTTGTTTTTGTTTTTTAAGTTTCTGCTTTTTACCTCTCCCCTTCAGTAGAAAGAACTATAGTCGGATCTGATTGAAAACATTATATCAGTCTCACATTTTTCCCCCTATAAACTTGAGACTGGGTTATTGCAGCTGGAACATTTTATTTATTTACTTTATGGTTTTTTAAACCGTGCCCCTTGATCTTAAATTTCTAACCAAGTTTTAAAAGTTGACACATTTTTTAAAGATTATAAAAATTTGGCCTTCCCTGGTGGTGCAGCAGGTTAAAGCACTGCACTAAGAAGCTAAAGCCACTTCCGCATGAGTTCGATTCCCGCCTGCCCCGGAGGTGACCACATGGCATGGCAGACCTCTTCTGACCTGCCACGCCATGTGGTACCTGTTTCCCTCAGCAGTGTACTTCATTGATCTGCCTGTTCTGCTTCCTGCTCTGTCTCTGGTGAATCCTCTCACCCTCCGCATCTCTGGCCTCTACCCCAGTTCTGTACGAATAAATAAATAAATCTTTTAAAAAAAAGATTATTAAAATTTATTTATGCACAGAAGAACTGGGGTGTAGGCCACAGGTGTGGGGAGTGAGAGGATTCACCAGAGACAGAGTAGGGAGCAGAACAGGCGGATCTACTGAAATACACTGCTGAGGGGAGCAGCTAGCATGACAGGCCAGAGCCAGCTCCCTGTTTGGGGTTGAACTATGCTACAGCTGCTGATAGATTAGTAACACTGAGACTTTAACCCCTGTGCCACCAGGGAGGCCCTAGAAGTTGATGCTTTAAAAAATTTCTCATTTTCGGGCCCTCCCTGGTGGCACAGTGTGTTAAAGCACAGCACTAAGAAGCTAAAATCACATAAGCATGAGTTCGATCCCCACCCAAGAGGTGACCCACAAGAGGTCACCCAAGAGGTGACCTTTCCTGATCCGCCTACTGCTCCCCTCAGCAGTGTGCTTCGTCTACCCTTGCCTGTTCTGCTCCCCACTGTCTCTGGTGAATCCTCTCACTGCCCCTGTATCTATGGCCTATATGCCAGTTCTGTATGCATAAATAAATAAATCTTTTTGGAAAAAAATTTCCACCCATTTTTCATGAAGTTCTGTAAATTTTGCAAAAGTTGTTTACCTTGTTTTATTCTACTTTGCTATGTTTATTGAGCACTTTAACTTTGTGTTCTTATTAAGCCCATTAGGCAGCACAGCACTTTAGCACCTTTATCATTGACAAAAGCAAGTTAGTATTTTCTCCTAAGTTCTTATAAAATGATCAGTTTTTACTGATTGAACTGTAACTTTTTGTCGCTTGTATTCTTTTAATTACTAGTTGACAACAGAATTTTATTTTAAAATTTAAGTTAGAAGATTTTAATATTAATTTAAAAATTTGGAAACTAAGATAAATGTTTTAAATAAGTTGTTCCATGTCCATATTAGGAAATTTACTTTCTTTGGGGGGGGGGGAAATATTTTTGATCCATCCTTTAATGAAGTTCTTATAAGAAAGCCTATTAAAAACTAATTCAGGACCAACTGTTTGAATGCTCATTTTATAAAAAGATCTTAATCTCACATTTTTCTTGCAATGGCAAGCCTAGTAGCCCTGCTTACTTTAATGCCATCTGTAGAGGGTTCTAATACCTTTAGCTGACTACTGGAAGATTTTATCAACAGGTTAATGTTTAGTCAATATAGTAATAATAATGTAGACTAATAATTTAGCCTAGCAGATTGTATAATAGTATTAGTATGTTAGTCTTATAATTATGTATTTAGTTAATTGCTACTAGTAGGATGACCCAGAAGATTATAGATATACTGTGTCATTATAATTATATGCCTTACTTTTCTATAGTTGATACAGAGTTAAAATTAAGGCGTTCATACAGAAAATAAGGATATTATTCCTACATTAGTAATTTTCTTTTTCCATAAATGGAAATTTTATCTAGCACCTCACATAATGTTTCATTCAATAAGTATTTGTTTATTTGATTAGACTTCAAACTTTAAGAAACTCTTTAACACTCCTTGTATCCTGTAAGCACTGCTTCTCTGGTAGATAGAATGTTCAACATGGGTACATATTCACTTTCAAAGAACTTCATAATTCCAAAGGTGTTTTTTTTTTTTAAAATTTTATTTTATTTTAGCTTAGGAGAACTGCAGGGTATAGGCCAGAGGTGCACGGTGGTGAGAGGATTTACTAGAGACCAAGTAAGGAGCAGAGCAGGAAGATTTACTGAAATACACTGCTGAGGAGAGCCGCAGGGTAGAACAGGAGAGGTCTGCTCCACCATATGTGGTTTAACCCCCTGACCGTGGTTCGAACTCAGGCCATAGTGGTTTCAGTGCTGAGATTTAACCTCGAGGCCTCCAGGGAGCCCCAAACTTCATAATCCGAGAACCTCACATGTTTATTCTACAGACTTGCATGAAAGTTTAGGAGAAGAAGCAAATCCTAAGAGAAATAAAGTTGTGTTTGTTTGTTTGTTTTTTGGTATTATAGAACTGAAAGACCTAGATTTCAATTCTTTATATCTGTTTATTGGTTGTGTGATCCAAAGTTAATTTAAAGTCTTTCAGTTTTCCATGTCTCTGAAGTAAGTTTAGTGTGAGTAAAATTTAAATAATAAAACTGCTTAATATACTAAAGTACTATATGAATATAAGATATTATTTGCATAAATTAGTTCATTCCAGTATCTATAAACCTATGGAAATAGAATAAATATCCTGTTGATTGGAAGCAAGATTCTTCATTGAAGATTAATTAGTATATACTGATTATACATTGAAGTTTATTCTTTTATTATGTTATTAAAAATATTTTTCAGAATAAGCATATAAGGATCATCCTTTCAATGTGAACATTTATTTGCCAAGTATTAACATTTCTAAAAATTCAAATGTCCCATGAGAATTGATATGAAAAGCCTTTGAGTTTAATATACTATTATTTTACTTCTGCATAAAGTTTTTTCTAAACTTTCAAAGTTACACAAAAGAAAATTTTTTGAGTATTTTTTAAGTATTTGTTTAGAAGTCAAGGGAAAACTTCAGTTTGTCCTTTTCAAATATTGAAATAATTTTTCAATATTTAGGTGACAAATAATATTGTGAGTTAAATGATTCTGTTTGGTAAAGCAGGACCATTTTAAACAAAACATCTCTGACTTACATATTCCACTGTGTTATATTTATCAGTTGTATTAATCCTCATTTCTTTTGTAAGACCTGTCAATAAGTGGGCTTTCTCAAATTTCTTTTCATCCACTGTTAGTAGAAAGGAATACATGCATATTGAAGCAAAATTTTAGAAAGTAAAGTTTGGCAATGTATAGTTTTACTTTTTAAATTTCAGTGTGTTTGAAGAAGTTGACAGAGATTTACAAGAGCTTCAGGCCTCTATGGAACAATTACTTAGAGAACAACCTGGGGAAGAATACAGTGAGGAGGAAGAATCGGTTTTAAAGAACAGTGACGTAGAGCAGACTGTAAATGGAACAGAGCTGGCAGATGAGGATGACAACCCCAGCAGTGAAAGCGCCCTGAATGAAGAATGGCACTCAGGTCCGTGAAAGTGGTTGTGGGTCCTTTTCTTTTTCAGTGATTGTATCAAGTAGAGTATATTTTTCTGATATCTGATACGTATCACTTCTGACTTTAAATAAAACACAAGTATGCTTTTGTGCATATTTTTTCCTTTTAACACACATGTGCAAACTCTTTTGTTCTACTTTGCCATTAAGGTACAGAAATGTGTTTTGGAACAGTTTTATTCTATTATTTGTTCTGCATTTCTTAACTTATTTTTCTAGTAACAAAGATAATAATTTAGTTTTCTTAGCACTTTTTTGCAGAGAGCTTCCATACTGAAATTTCTTTTAAAAACCTTGGCACTTTTTGGTGTGGAGACTGTTCTTTGTTGTGGCCTTGCCCTAAGATGTACAGACAGTTGGTGTGTTTCAGCAACTCTGTGTGTTACTTCTTTGGAAGAAGAGTTAAAGTGAAAAATAATTTCAGCGATTTGTCTTTTATCTGAACTTTTCAAAATATCTTGGACATTCACATGACTTAAAATGTATTGAGCATTTATAACACTTTCTAGGTACTTTTCCAGAGTTTTGGAATATGTATCCTAGGTCAGATCTCTTGCATTCCTTTTATCTTTTTTATCAATATTTTTCTCTTATATCATCATTATTGTTCATTTGCATAATATTTGATTTCTCACCTCAGGTGTAGTCCCCTTGTTCACCCACCACCATTTTTTATCAACTTTTTAAAAATAGTAGTTAGGGTTGGTTACCTTGATACAGCATATATGGGTATTTTTTCCCATTTTTTACTGAGTTAAATAACATCTAAGAATGTTTTTATTCTAACCTGATTTACTATTTATAAGAGTCTCATAGTACAATTCTTGATAAGACTTTAATATATATACATACACACACACATAAGTAACCTATATAAATAACTACCTTAATGACAAAAACTTGATATTTGAATTACAAGTCATCTATTTCAGTGACATTATTCACATGTAATAGAACTTTATTAGGATAAGAATTATTTTATCCAGTTTCAGTTTTCAATCATAAAATGTCTTTATTTCTGTCTTTTAGATAACAGTGATGGTGAAATTACTAGTGATTGTGAATATGATAGTGTCTTTAACCATTTAGAAGAATTGAGACTTCACTTGGAGCAGGAAATAGGTTTTGAAAAGTTATTTGAGGTTTATGAGAAAATAAAGGTAAGTTAGATGTCAATTAGACCATTTTACTTTGAATTGTGTACGGTTTGAATTACTAATGAATTATCAGTGGTCTTTATTGGTCTGTAGAATGATTATAAATGATAAGTGTTCCACTAGAGAAAGTTAACATGAAATATTAATTTGTATTTGGAAATTTGGTTTAGGCTATTCATGAAGATGAAGATGAAAATGTCGAGATTTGTTCAGCAGTAGTCCAGAATATTTTGGGAAATGAACATCAGCATCTTTATGCCAAGATTCTTCATTTAGTCATGGCAGATGGAGCCTATCAGGAAGGTAAGATTTCCTCACATCTTTATATTTTAAATAAATGTGTGAAAAACAAGATGACAAATGTAAATTGATGAGCTTACATTACATGTTTTGGTGAAATCTATATTGGAATCATATCCAGCACTTTTAAAGACTTATAAAATTAACTCTCATATTCTTTCACTGATTCATCATATACTTTTATTGACTTAAGTCTCTTTTTCTTAAAAAAAAATCCCCTTTTTCATGATCCCATCATATACTTTTATTGACTTTAGTCCTTTTTTCAAAAAACCCTTCTTATTAGATGGCTCTAGAAATCCAAATTTTTTTAAGATTTTATTTTTATTTATGCAAACAAGAACTAGGGTATAGAACAGAAGTGGGGGGGTGAAAATACTCATCAGAGAGAGAGTGGGGAGCAGAACAGGCAGATCCACTGCAATTCACTGCTGAGGGAAACAAGGCTGCTGCACCATGCAGTCTTCTCCCTGGCGGGGCTGAAGCTCCTGCTGCAGTGGCTGCTGGTAGCTGCAAGTGCTAAGACTCACCTTGCATCACCAGGAGACTCTCAAATAATTTTTTTTTTATTAAGGTTGTAGTATTGGACTTTTAGAAACATACTTTTAGACATATATAAGTGAGAACTAAGCAATATGTCAAATTTCTCCTAAATAATACCAAATGTAATTTCTTCCATCAAAGTAAGTATGATTAATGTATAATGAATATGTATAGTGAATTGAATATAAAACTTTTACATTTGGAAAATATTGAACTATAGAATCACTCAAAATATTTTAAGATTTTATTAAAAGTTAGTAAGGCTGGGGCCTCCCTGCTGGTGCACGGGGTTAAGTTTCAGCACCATGAAGCTATCAGCAGCCACTGCAGTACAAATTTGATCCCCAGCCAAGGAGGTGACCCCCATGGCACAGCAGACCTTTCCTGTTTCACCCACTGCTCCCTTCAGCACTGTATTTCAGCATATCTACCTATTCTGCCCCCAACTCTGTCTTTGGTGAATCCTCTCACCACCTCCTCCCCAACTCCCTGCACCTCTGGCCTATACCCCAGGTCTTATAAGCACTAATAAATTTAAAAAATCTTTTTTTTACATCCCTCTTCATTTTGTTCAGTTTTCCATCACCACCAATTCACCCATGTGTCATAACCATAACCCTGTGCACCTTCCCCACCTCATTTTGGATCCCATTCCCCTTTACACCCTTGTAAAATATCTCTGGTATATTGCTGTTCATTGTTTTTTCATTTTTCTTTATTATAATTACTTTTTTTTTTAAACCCTGATTCCTTACACTCCTGCTGTGAGTGAAACCACCCAGTATTTTTCTTTTTCTCTCTGGTTTATTTCACTAAACATGATCCCTTCCTGCTCCATCCATGTCGCTGCAAAAGGCATGAGTTTATCTTTTTTTGATTGCTGAGTAATATTCCATTGTGTATATGTACCACATCTTTATAATCCAGTCATCAACTTTTGGGCATTTGGATTGATTCCATGTCTTCCCGAATGCAAATAGAGCAGCGGTAAACATGGGGGTGCAGGTGTCCTTTTAAATCAGTGTTTTTGTTTCCTTTGGATAGATACCTAAGTTTGGGATTGCTGGGTCATGTGGGAGCTCCATTTTTAGCAGTTTAAGAAAACTCCAAACAGCTTTCCATAGTGAATAAATCTTTTTTTTTTTAATTTATGGGGTACAGGCCAGAGGTGAAGGGGCAGTGGGAGGCTTCACCCAAGACAGAGTGGAAAGCAGAACAGGCGGCAACGAATTACACTGCTGAGGGAAGCAGTGGACAGGAGAGGTCTGCCGCACCAAGTGGATCACCTCCAGGGTGGGAATGGAACTCATGCTGAAGTGGCTTTATCTTCTCAGTGCTATGCTTTAACCTGCTGCACCACCAGGGAGGGCCCGAATAAAACTTTTTTAAAAAAAGTTACTTAGGCTAAAATTATTTATCCCCTTATATTTAGTCAAGAGTACTAAACATGGAACCTGGAGGCTCTGTGATGAACTAGTGTTGTGACTTTTATTTTGTATTTAAGTTTTAATTTCCTTTGCAATAAGATGATAGGATTCCCCAATGTAATGTACTATCACTGGTTTTCAAAATATTTATTGAGTGCTGCTTTGCTTACATGTGTCCTACAGTTTTCTTGGGAGATGAGATACAAACATGACTGAAGGTATAAAACTATATATAAAAATACTCAGTCTAAAATACTTTAAAATGTAATAGGAATTAGAGAAGCTAGACTTTGAAAAATGGAAAGAACTGTGGGGAAATAGAACACACCAATAATTAATGTGTTTGGGAGGATTGAAATGACCATATTAGAAGCTTTGTATTGAGAATTAGTCTTTGTGAATAAACAATGGAAGGATTTGAAATATATGGAGGAAATAATAGATTTTGAATTAAGAGAACTAACAATAATGTAAGAAGCGTCTATAAAGTTCAATCTGGCAGCACTATTCTAGACAACTTAAAGAGTACTGAAACTGGAAATAGGATTTGTTTTGAAAGTGTAGGCGAATTTGGCATTAGATAATAAATACCCGGATTTACTGTTCATAAAACAGAGACTTAATATTCAATTTTGTTATTTCAGAACTAAGCTTTTTATTAAAATATTTGATATTTGACTCATGAAATAGGAAATCCTCAGGAACAGTGAGAACTTTTATATCTTAAAAAACACTGCATTTTCATTACTATTCTTCTTAGCAGAATAATAACTATTAGGGAAAAGTTAAGGTCATGGCAAGGAGTAATAAATTGTAAGTCATTTTTCCTTCATAAACTAGTAATTTCTCCAAAATAAACCATTTATTCTTTATTATGACTTTCTTTAGCAAGTAAGATTATCACAGATAAACAGACAAAAAGAGCAGTGTTTTGTATTTATATTTATTGTGGTTATTATGAAATCTGTCAACAGAAACTTAAAGGAGCTCTTTTCTATAAAAAAATTATTAGAGGGCTATAAATTAACATCATATTGGGGAGTAAATGTAAGAACTTACATTCAAATATTAGTTTTTTTCAAAGTGGAGCGACAAGATGGGGAAAGAGGGTTAAAATCAAAAACAGGGGCCCTCCCTGATGGTGCAGCAAGTTAAAGCACAGCACTAAGAAGCTAAAGTCACTTCAACATGAGTTTGATCCCCGCCAGAGGTGACCCACAGGGTGTGGCAGACCTCTTCTGACCCGCCCGCTGCTCCCCTCAGTAGTGTCCTTAGTAGATCTGCCTGTTCTGTTCCCTACTCTGTCTCTGGTGAATCCTCTTACCGCCCCTGCACCTCTGGCCTGTATCCCAGTTCTGTATGCATGAATAAATAAATCTTTGAAAACATTTATGCACACACACACACACACACACACACATTGCATCTAAGGGGAGAAGAAAACCTATTGCAAAATGAAGAAGTACCTTGTAAGAAAAAAAGTAGAGATAATAGACTCATAATTATTTTTTTAAGATGTGTTTATTTATGCTTACAGAACTGGGATATAGGCTAGAGATGCAGGGGTGGTAGAGGATTCACCAGAGACAAGAGTGGGGAGCAGAACAGGCAGATTGATCAAGTGCACTACTGAAGTGGGGGGGCGGTAAGGAGAGGTCTGCCTCGCCGGTGGTCATCTCCCGGTCCAGGGATCAAACTCGTGTTGAAGTGGCCTTAGCTTCTTAGTGCTGTGCTTTAACTCGCTGCACCACCAGGGAGGGCCCACACCTATTATATTTTAAGAGAGAAAAAATATTTATTCAAAACTGCATTTAGTTGTAGCTATTAAGATCTCTGTATATATGCAGGAAACCAATCTGGGAAGACTTAACATAAATTATTCTTATTGTCTGAATATTTTACAGTGAGCATGTGATAGTATATGTGTGATGTGAATTACGTGATTGAAAACTACCTTTAAAAGTATATTAAAGTTTTTTCCCGTTAGATGAAAGAGAATAAAATATTTTTTACTAAGTAGATAGTTTTGAAATGAATGCATTTTTCTTTTCCTTTTTTACAGATAATGATGAATAATTTCCAGAACATCCTTTAACCCTCAACTCCTATAAACACATTTGAATTTGGCTAATCAGAATAAGAAACGTCAGTGGGAAATGTAGAAGCTACTTATAAATGTCAAATATAAGGTGGGCATGTTGATTGCATGGAAAAGATTGAGAGAAACACCATTTTTCAATTAGGATTCTAGCAATTCATTTTATTTTTTTCACTGAGTTCTATAGTTACCTCCTGCAGGGCAGATGCATTATTAAATTACCCAAAGCATAAGAAATGTTGACCCAGTCCAGATCTGGACTTAATGGTTTTGAAGACTTGCTATGCAGTCAGATACCTTTGACTTTTAACAAATGCCTTTACCTTTTGAAAGAATTGTCTGTTGTCAAGGATCTGCTGTGGTTTTCATTTAGGTACTTAAACATGACCTTTTTCCTGTCTATTTGTTTCCATGGCCAGTAATTCTGAATTAAATAACCTTGTCAAGGGCTCTATTTAAACCTTTACATGTTAAAGATGGAATTTTTAGCCTTAAAGTTTATATATCAGTTTTTTTTTTCAACCATTGTGTCTCATTCAACTAGTACACTGAAAACAGGCTTATAGAAAATCTTAAAAATCATTGAAAAATTGATCATGAAAAGAATAATGGAAGAATAATTCCTGATATATAAAAAGTTGGTAATACTATTTCTCTTTAAGGACCATAACCAAAAATATTATATCTAAAAATCATTCTGTAGATGGTGACATTGACCTACCATATAAGAAAGTTACCCTTTTTTGTTCTTCACTTCCTCTTATGTATGTTCCTCAAGCCATGGTCATTTTGATACTGTAACAGTTTGGCTAACTGGTACTTCAGAGAAGGGAAATTTTTGCCTCTTTTATGCATTTTCATTGTGAGAGGATTTAGTTAGATCATTATGATGGTGGTGGTTACAAAGCTCCTACTGCAATATGCCAAGTTACCTGGTTTCATTAGAGATGTCTTTTAAGTCAAATGCTTTCATATTAAAATATAAAGTTTGAAACTGAGTATAAGACAAAGTGCTTGGCATAATATATAATTTCAAAAATAAAATCTTACCTTGCAGCACTATCAGTACTATGTAGAATTTATTATGTATATTATTTCTAACATACAAAACTACTTGATTTTTATACATTATTTCTTTTATGATGTTCTATTAAATTTGTATTATGTGCCTGTAATATTGTGTGTTATTTATTAGCTTCTATTCTCTGTAGAGTGCTTTTAAACCGAACTGAGAATACTATTTTTTTTTTTAAAGATTTATTTATTTGTGCATACAGAACTGGGGTACAGGCCAGAGGCTCAGGGGCGGTGAGAGGCTTCACCAGAGACAGAGTGGAGAACAGAACAGGCAGATGGACGAAGTACACTGCTGAGGGGAGCAGCAGGCGGATCAGGAGAGGTCTGCCACGCCATGTGGTCACCTCCGGGGCAGGCGGGAATCGAACTCATGCGGAAGTGGCTTTAGATTCTCAGTGCTGTGCTTTAACCCGCTGCGCCACCAGGGAGGGCCGAGAATACTATTTTTTTAACCTGATGATTTTCATTCTTTTAAGTGGAAGAATATTTTAATTTTGAACGGTAATTCTCTGTGACTCTGTTTTGGGGGATTATTTATTCATTTTAATCTGTACAAATACCAGAAAACTAAGCAAGGTGTAACAGTAGAAAAACATTTCTGGCCATTTTTAAATGATACCATATATGTAAATAGGAATGGCACCGTCTTGGTCATTTGATAGTAAGTGACTCTGGAATGTTAAAAGGTTGTCTGGGCTATGCTAGGGGGGGAAAGGGATATTGTTCAGTAAGATCTGTTATAAACATTGGAGGTAATGTGTGGAAATAGTTACACAGATTCATGGCATGTTAGAGCTAGAAAGAGTTATCAGAATAGTTTAGTGTTTTCTCCATTTAACAGTCAAGTGCATTGAGTCCTCTAACCAGGAAACTGTGGGGAAAGAAAAGGACAAAAAAGTCCCCGAGAAAGTGTGACTACAAGCCACCCTTCAACTAGTATTATATATTGAACACCAAAGCTGTCTAAACCAAGGAACTATGAACTCCAATATAATTTGAAGTTGTTTCTAATTGCTAATGCCCCCAGGGCCCTGGCAAAAACCATTCTAGTGCCTTGTGAAGAAAGGCACATTTGTGTCTTGAAAAGCAGTACATTTTCAAAAACAGGAAAGACATGGGAAAAAAGATAAATTAGTACACAACAAATCAAAACAGTGTATAAGTGGGAAATAGAAACAGTGTCTGTATAATCTTTAGACATTGGAATTGCCAATATTATAAGTCAACTAGACTCATAACTGTGTTTTTTTGTTTTGTTTTGTTTTTAAAGATTTATTTATTTATTTGTGCATACAGAACTGGGGTACAGGCCAGAGGCTCAGGGGCGGTGAGAGGCTTCACCAGAGACAGAGTGGGGAACAGAACAGGCAGATCGACGAAGTACACTGCTGAGGGGAGCAGTGGGCGGGTCAGGAGAGGTCTGCCACACCATGTGGTCACCTCCGGGGCAGGCAGGAATTGAACTCATGCAGAAGCAGCTTTAGATTCTCAGTGCTGTGCTTTAACCCGCTGCGCCACCAGGGAGGGCCACTCATAACTGTGTTTTAAAAATAATTAACAAACTTTAAAATCTATATTTTATGTATAGGTAAAGATAAAATAACATGTGATAATAGATATGAAGTAGAACCAAGTAGAACCCATTTTCATGGGAAAAAAAACAGTAATCCAAATTGTAAAACTCACTGGATATTCTTGGCAGCAAACTTTACATTAACAGAAAAACATATTCAAGAACTAGATGATATTATCCATAATATCACACACATAGCAAGGAAAAGATGGAAAATACAGCAGAGAAGGTAAGAATAAAGAATCAATGTGAAAGTTAGTTATTTATAATTGGGGTGCCAGAAGAAAATTAGAGCAATAAAAACTCCGAATTTTTCATAGCTATTTGAAGATATACATCCACAGGTCAAAGAAACCTAGAAACCTAGTGAATTTCAGGTAGAATAAGATGAAAGATACCTAGTCTCTTCAGAGTAAAACTGCAGAAAATCAAAGACAAACAGAAAATGTTAAAAATTGAGACAAAAAGTCATGTTGCCTTCAAAGTCATGTTCCCAGATGATTTTCAGTAGTAGTAATGCAACAGTGAACTGGTATCTTTTGTGCCAGAAGAAAATAATTGTCATTCCAGAATTATGTACACAGCAAGAATGTGTGAAAGAGAACTTACCTTCTTACCTTTTAACACTCAAACACTGGGCTAAATATATGAACCACTGCTTTTCAGACATGGGCAATGGACATCGAAGGGCAGTGATCTGAAAGAGAAGGGAAACAAGATCTAAGCTCTGTGATTTCCCTAAGTTTACTGCATAGCAATAGCATAGTTGTAGGTATTTTGAGGAGATGGAAGTCAGAATCTATAAAACAGAGCAGAGTACCAAACATGAGTATTGCCCAAAAAGATGAGTGTGTACTCCAGAGATCTCCAGTAGGTTCTTGTGTCTTGGGCTGAATACTGACCAGTGCAGCATATTAGAAAACTGTCTAAGACTGAAGAAAACTACTAGAAAGGAATAGTTGGCGTAACCCCTGAACAGTACACAGGGCTAGAGTAGTTTGTATTTCTACTAGCTTAAACTTAACACCTGAAACATAGTGTGTAGAAAAGTATTGTATCATTAACAAAGCCAAATGATCCCTAGGTAAAGGCTAGCAGGACCAAATCCAGAAAGATCATCCAGTTTTCCTCTGAACAAAGCTTTAAAAGGATTTAAAGAAAACCCCAAAATACTAGCATTCAATAGTACCCAGTCAAAAACTGTCAGACATGCAGAGCAGGAAAACAGACTCATATTAGATAGAAAATCTGTCAATGGAAGTAATAGAAATAATGTAATAGTCAAGATTATTAAAACAGCTATTACATGCCCCATACATTTAAAACTATAAAGGTAAGCTAAGCATAAAGATGAAAGACCTGGCCCAATTTCTATATGCACATACACATACCAGGTAGAAATTTTAGGAATGAAATGTAACAAATAACATGTAACAAATAACAAAGTAGCTATCAGAAGAAAACATTAGTGATCTGGACTCAAATTAGTGACCATGCAAAATAATTTTTTTCAGATGTACATGGATTACTTTCCCAAATAAACCAAACAGAAAAAAAATCAAAATTTTAAAGGATTCAAATTATATAAGGTATATCTTCTCACCACACTGGAATTAAATATGAAATCCTCAAGTATTTGAAAACTAAACACATTTCTCAAAAACTCATGGGAATAAGAACTGGTGGTGGGAAATCTATGGGGATTATAACCGAGATGAAAAAATGTACAAAATGAAGAATGATGTAAAAAAATTATATATTTATAATTTTAAAAAATCAAAAATGCTTTGACTGAGAAAATATAATTTGTGTGCTATTTCTAAGCACAACTTAGCGGAAAACATAAAGCACTAAATATAGTGTACTAGAAGCAATTCAATGACTTATACTTCTATCCAAGAAGAAAAAAAAGAGCAAATTAAACTCTGAGGGAAAAGGAGATGGTTTTTATTAAGTATAGGAATCAATGAAGTGTGAACAAATCAAAGCAGCTAAAGCTAGTTCTTTAAGAACATCAATAATATTGATAAATATGTAGAAATTAAGTAACAAAAAAAAGGTTTATCACTATAACCTTAAATGACATTAAGTAGAAGTTAGAGAATATCTTGAAAATTTATGCCAGGGTATTTGATAATTTAGTGAGAATAGATGTATTTCTTAGACAAAAACTGGGGCTGTCTTACATAAAATATTATGAACTGAGTGATTTAAGTAATAGACTTTTTTTTCTCACAGATCTGGGCCTAGAAATCCAGAATCAAGTTTTCAGCTAGTTCTGTTTTTGGAGAGGACTCTTCCTGCATAATATTTTCATTTTCTCTGTCCTCATCGCCTTTAGTGTGTGCACACAGGAGAAAAAACACAAGCCCTCTAGTGTCTCTTCCTGTAAAGGACACTAATCACCATGAGATTAGGGAGCCATCTTTATGACTCCCGTTAAGTTTAATTACTTCCATAGAAGCCCTCTTTCCCAGTAACTGGTATATTGAAGATTAGGGGCTTCATATCAACTCTGGGGGAGGGACAGAAACATTCCACCCAAAACATCGCCAGGAACACATAGAAAATCTGAATCGCCCTGTATCTGAGATTAGATTTTACTTTGAAACCTTTTCACAAAAAGAACTTTGGGTCCAGATGGCTTCAATGATGATTTCTATCAATATTTCTGGAAGAAATAGTACCAATTTCACACAAGCTGTTCCAAAATATAGGAATATAGAGAATATTTTCCCACTTATTCCAAGTGTACAGCATTACCTTATTTTTAAAAAAAAAAAATTTATTCATACAGAACTGGGGTACAAGCCAGAGGTTCAGGGGTGGTGAGAGCCTTCACCAAAGACAGAGTTGGGGTGCAGAACAGGCAGATTAATGAAGTACACTGCTGAGGGAAGCAGTAGGCAGGCCAGAAGGGGTCTGCCAGCCATGCAGATCACCACCTGAACGGGGATCGAGCTCCCACTGAAGTGGCTACAGCCAGCTTGCAGTGCTGTGTCCTAACCTGCTGCGCCACCAGGGAGGGCCCAGTATTACCTTATTCTTAAAAGATTTACCTTATGTAATTATAAGAGTATAGATTCATAAACTTTGTGAATTGAAAAAAATCCTAATAAATTTAGAAAATCAAACAACAATATAAAAAGGACAGTGTATCATGATCAAATAAATTTGCCAGAATGCAAACTGACTTAACAACCAAAACTAAATAAATGTTATCTACCGTATTAACATAAAGAACATGATAATATCAGGTGCAGAGAATCATTTGACAATTTTTAAAGGACTTCAGAAATATAAAACATGAAAGAAAAATTTAACAATCAAAATTTATCAACTTTTCAAGTCGTTATCAAGAAAATGAAAGCTGTTCATAAAACAGTGTAAAAAATTAACCCAGCTTGACAATTGGTGAAATGTTTGAATGTACAATCAAAGAAAATGAATACATGACAATCTCATGAATAGATACTGTTA